GCCTGAAAACTAGGAGCCCTAGACACATTGCAGTATTTGAGGTTCTCACAGAGGTGGTTGTGAAGAAGACAGGACTCTTCCATGTAGAAACATTGTTAAGGATTATGTCAATTGAAAAAATCCACCTCATCGGGACTCAAACCAACTACAGAAGACAATCTGCGGCAGAAATGAATTGCTTACCGTTGCAAAAAGCAGTGTACATAATTTTCACAGCCCCATAACGAGATAAATACATTAGAAACAAGATAAACAGAACGACAGCGCTGTAGAAATATCTACGGATAGGGGAGAAGCAGCTTCCCCTCGGATAATCCCTGACGGAGAGGATTTGCTTCAGTTAAGAACTCCTGTAATCCGTATGTCCACCCAAGTGACGCATTCCTGTATCTCTTTTGTCGAGGAATAAGAATGAGGAATTTTCTCACATTACAGAGCTTCATGCACATTTAAACAGAAGTGGAAGCTGTCAGTCTCGTAGAGCTGAAGCCGAGAATTGGCTCATCACTAAGTCATGTTGCCCGCAACATATTGGACAACTGGCAAACAGAAGAGATATTTCGCTTAGTGGTGGGTGGAGTCCAACTGGGTCCACTCGGCACGGCGGCCACTGATTGGACTATTGTAGCTTGCCCCGATGATTATGATGATGGAGAATTTGGTGGAATGAAGATTGGCAGGGGAAACCGAAGTTCTCGGAGGAAACCCGCCCCACCGCCACTTTGTTATCACCACAAATCCCACTTGACCAGACCCAGGATCGAACCTGGGCCGCCGCGGTGGGAAGCCAGCGACTAACCGCTTGAGCTATGGCGTGGCCTCCTTTTCCTTTGCGTATTATATAGACAGAGCGACCGCCGCTCGTCGGCGAAGTTAGTACCAACTTTAGCGGATAGAGATGTCCGCTTGCGGACTAAAGCCACGGAGTTCTTTCCTTTGCGTACTCGACATGTGGAAAAATATTTCAGTTAAAATTCTGTTGGACCTGCAGTCATGTATTTTTGTACACTACTACGTCACGGAAACCATTCGGATTAGGACACACGTGTATATATATATATCAGCCTCATGAGGATAACTGAGGAGATATTTCAAGTAAATAGCGGCTCCGATCTAGAAAACCGATATTAACGGCCGTGGAAATCCGTTGCGCTGACCACGCGACACCCTCTATCTGCAAAATTTGGCAATAACTTCGCCGACAAGCGGCAGTCTCTCCGTCGGTATAGTTCACTTGCGGACTCAAGCTACGGAGTTTTTGTTTATATATATGCCGGTCACAGTAGCCACATGGTCTAAGGCTTGAACTGTCTTCAATATCTCGGACGCTGGGACCGTGGGTTCGAATCCCACTCGAGGCATGAATGTCTATGTGCGTTTAATCTGTGTTTGTGTTGTCCTGTGTGTATGTAGCGGCCTTGCGACGAGCTGGTCACTCTTCCAAGGAGTCCTACCGTCTGTAAAAAAATATTACGGAACTGAATAAGAGGCCTGGGCCCTGAATGGGCGGAAAAAGCTACTGAAAAATAATATATATATGTTGCTTAGAATGACTGATACTATGACCTCCCAGAATATTGATCTTTCTCCTGAAACACCCTGTGTAACGTCACACAGTAGGAGAGAAAATTGAGAGTGGATTGGAAAGGAACTGGGAGTAAAGTTTAGTGTCCTGCTCGGTATACAAACCCCGGTATATTCCTAGAGGGACCTAGAAACAGAGCGAACAATCTCAGGGAGGATAATGGTTGTCCAGGCCGAAATTCGAAGCAAGAAATTCCCGAATACAAGTCTCCGTCTCTATACCGTCCTGTTCCGTGTGATGAAGACGGGTTGCTCCAAAGAAGTGGTACACAGAGCGCAGCGTGGCCAAATTAAGACGAAGTGGACCGAAGCCGTCACCTGGAATTAGGGCTGTGTAGCCCCGGGCTTACAAAATCCATTACACACTTTGTGGGGCGGTGCGGGCTACGGGACAGGTTATACGGCCCGCTGTACAAGCTCGAAGTCTTCAACAGTGTCTGTTCGTTCCATATTAACAAATTTACTGTCACGTTTAACGTATGTAAGAAAGGAGTTTAATGGCACGCGATTTCCCAACGCAATCGCAGCGTAAATTTAGGCTACGTAAAACACTGGAAAAGTGGGTTCGACTCGAAGTGGGTGTCATAGGTGTTTATCCGCGGTTTTCTGCTTTTGTTGTAGAATTACTATTTAATTTCTTACCCGACTAATCACTAACTCATGAAGCTGAGCACTTCTCGAGAAACTGACAGTTGTGCAGCTACTCAAGAACTTACCAGCATTTTATGGAACCCGAAGGTTCATTATCGTGTTCACAAGAGCTCTCCACTGGTCCCTATCCTGAGCCAGATCAATCCAATCGATGCCATCCCATCCTAATTCTCTAAGATCCATTTTAATATTGTCCACCACCTACATATTGGTCTTCCCAGATGTTTCTTTCCTTATTGCTTTCCCACCATTCGTGCTACATGCCCTGCTCATCTCATCCTCTTTGACTGATCAATTTTCCCGTCTAATAGGATTTATAAAATTATTTTAATTCGATTATACCAAGGACCCAATGTATTTTTTTATTGCTAGTGGGGTGGGACTAAGTCCCTTGTACTGCGGCCAATTCTGGCCTATCGTACCAGCCCCAGATGATAGGCGAGGGTGATTGTGGAGCAATTGGTGGAATGAAGAGTGGCAGCGGAAACCGATGTACTCGGAGAAACCCTGCCCCAGCGCCACTTTGTCCACCACAAATCCCACTTGACCAGACCCGGGATCGAACCCGGGCAGACGCGGTGGGAAGCAAGAGACAAACTGCTTGAGCTATGGCGCAGCCTAGGACCCAATCTAACTTCGGAACGAAGATGAATAGTTAATGAATTGCACATGATACATAAATGAATTTGTGTGACTTGATGATGATGCATAATTTATGTTTTTTCGAATCTAATGAGATTAGATGATGATTATGCAGGATTAGTGAGGAATGGCCAGTAACCTATTCCGTGTTGTTCTCTCTGTATTTGCAATATTGTATTTGAGCATCCTGTTGAATTAATATGTCCTTCACACAGGATAAAATTCCGTCAGCAATGCGACTACAGGTATTTGTATCTCTCCTTCCTTTCACGAAACGGCCATCTTCAGGTGCCCCAGCTATGCCAGGACTGTTCCACTGTATAAAATGTCTACTTATTCACATCAGATGTAACTTCGATATTTCATGATATAAAATACAGAATGTTCCTCTCGATGTAATTTACTTTTAAATATAAAATTCATTAAAATTTTGTAAAATTATTTTTTACACCTTTGCTAAGGACGTCGTCCATTTGTCTAAACGATATACTCGTATATTATTATCCATTTATTTAGATTTTTATGACTGCCTCTGTGGTCTAGTGGTCAGAGTTCCTGGATACAGATCCAGAGGTCCGGGTTCGATTCCCTGCTCTACCAGGTTTTCTGTGAAGTATTGTTTCTGGAACGGGGTCCACTCAACCTCGTGAGGATAATTGATGAGATATTTGAAGGGAATAGCAGCTCCGGTCTAGAAAACCGAAATTAACGGCCGTGGGGATTCGTTGCGCTGACCACGCGACACCCTCTATCCGCTAAAGTTGGCACTAATTTCGCCGACAAGCGGCGGTCGCTCGGTCGGTATAGTTCGCTTGCAGATTAAAACCACGGAATATTTTTATACTGTAGCGACCTGGGTGTTCGCATGTTGTTTTCCGTGCTTAAGACCGTTGTTGTGGTTATCATCTACAATGTCTAAGAGCCCACATTTTTATTGTTTTTTATTTACTGTATATAATGTTATGTTTATATACTCCCTTTGTCCCTAGCCTGTTTGTCGTTCAGCTCGCCTTCGTATTGTGTTCCCTTGTGTGCACACGTTATGCATGTGTAGTGTGCTTACTCCTGTATTTATAATGTACCGGGCTGAAGGGGAAGGGGTGTGTACTGTTATCCGTGTCAATGCAGATTATCCCTACTGATTTTATTTTTTATTTCTGTATTTCACTAAATTCATTGAGGAAGACCACGGAATTCAGGGTAATCCAAGGTAAACTTATGTAACCTAAATGAAATTAGAGGCAACGGGTACGTCGTAATATCGCTAACAGTGAACCAGGCTTCAAGGCGTCATGTCCCAGGCGCCAGTAATTTTCAATGTAGCCCTTCCATGATTATAGCCACATACAAAGGACAAGTTAAGTTTCTGAAGAAGATACCATGTCTTCTGATCGAATGTTGTGAATTTGACCTAATATACATTGCATCTGTTTCAGTTTCTGTCAGAATTTCAGCCTTGTAACTTACGTTTTCCTACATTCATCAGAATAATTGCTTGGATTTTTATTTCGAAATAGGTCATACGTCTCCTGCAATTTCTCATGCTTCAGTTGATAACAGTGCTTGCAAATAATGCAAGAACAATGTTTTCTGATGGTGTAAGAAAATATAGATTCTTCCCTCTTTGTTACAGTAAAGACAGACTGGAGATAAATCCATAGCCTGGAAATTATGACAGGAAATGTTTAGTGCCTACATGAATGATATTGATGGAAATTAAAAATCTCCGATATCATTTATTTCCGTTCCAGATGTTTATGAAGATTTAAAAGTTACGAAATGCAACAAAATTTATACATAAATATCTCGAAGGTTTCGATATGTATTGATTTTGTGTGTACAATGGAGGACACATGGAAATCCCGATCTCAGATTCATCATTTATCTTTACTTGGCGCTTCTAGATCCTAGATTTGTGCAAAATAATGCAATTTTGGGGGTTGTGAGGCCTTGAGGTTAGAAGAAAGCTTTCTGCGAACTACCCCCTTGAGAACCTCAATTCCAGTATCGTTCAGTATTGTTTGAGATAGGCTATAAATACAATCATAATTGTTGTACGGTTCTTCCGTGGCGTTCTTTGTCTTATATGAATATATTTTTATATATTTTCCTGTTTTCAACAGATATCCGAGGTCCGGTGCCCCCAGTTTTGAATGAAAGATTGCTCATGCTGACAGCGAAAGTGGATGACACCGTCGTGGTTCCTTGTGTCGCATACGCCAACCCCAGGCCTCAGTACAGGTAAACAAGCGCGCAGAAATTCGTTGTCATTCAGTACGTACGTGTCTGACTCCTCTCAGTGCGCATGCGTTTGTGTGTGCTTTCCTTGATAACAAACATAATGTTAAATGTACACCCATTGCTAGGCACCAGGTTGGTAAACAAGTTCCCGCGAAGACAGATTCCTGGTAAAGAGTTACGCAACAATTCTGACAACAGAAGAAGTGTTTTCAATGGAATCCGCGCCGTGCCTAGTGCTAAGCAACAGAACTGTAAGCACGTCTACAGTAGGTGTTTTCTGTGGAGTCTGTGCCGAATGTTTATAGGGGACAGTGAAGGTCGTTTGCAGTCAGTTATATCAAAAAATGCGTGAGTCAAGGACACGAAGCTGTCACGGTAATGAGTTGTGAGGATTCATCTGTGAAGTGTTAGCAGACATTGAAGACTTTATGTACTGTAGTTACAGTAATCTTGAGAGTGTAAGAACTAATTGTAGTTACGTCTAGTGAAGATCCAATAAACCGATTCACCAATCCAAACCCGCGTCTTAGTCACTGAGACACGTGGCAATAATAAATCAACTTCGTGATACTTACGGATTTCGGAAATAATAAATTTAAGCGTAATCGCCAACATATTTTAATTGCAATATCACTACCAGAATAGAATTCTGTGTGTCACTAAAAACAGTAGGTATCGGTGTTGTAGTCAGTTAACAAAGCAGTTGCATTTGTGTTGCCAAATTGTTCTGAATTTTCCAGCACTGAGATAAAAGGTAAAGTTGTCCCTGTGCTTAACTAATTAAGCACTACGCCATGAAGACGTGTGGGAGAGTGGTCGAGGAGTCGGAGTTCAAGTTCCGGTACGGTCAAGAATTTTCACTTCTCCAATCGTCCAGACCGGCTCTATTTCAAGGAAATAGCGGCTCCGGTCTAGAAAACCGAGATCAACGGCCGTGGGGATCCGTTGCGCTCACCACGCTACACACTCTCTATCGGCAAAAGTTGACACTGACTTCGCCGACAATCGGCGGTCGCTCGGTAGGTATAATTCGCTTGCTGACTACAGGCCACGGAGTCCTCTTTGTCGATGCGTTGTTTATTGATCACAGAGCCGGACTCTTATACTTATTACCTATATATCTTCGCGCAGATCTGTCGAGTTACCGGGACTTTAGTGAAGTTTCTACAAAGTTGGTAGCATTTGTTTGGCACAACTATGGTTCTTTATCAACATAGACAAAACCAAAATAGACTGAAATGTCGAGAATTTCCAGTTCTCTTGAGAGAGGAAATAAAATATAATGTGACTTACTCGTAAATCATATTTTATTATTTTCTATTATCTCCAAAAATTGCTGTGTTTCTTTCATTTATCTGTGTTTCCCTACAGTTTCTTTCTTCCTATATAGAATCTCTCTAAATTGCACAACATATATATTTGTGTTCGCAGTGATCATCTTGTCCTGCTGTCCCACTGAAAGTAGCAATAATTAATTTCCTTCAGCTCACTATTCCGCCCTTTGTTCCTCTCTTGAGTTATCTTACATAATCTCAACTTTCTCCGGGTATAAATACAGCCCAGTTATTTCTCTCATAACTGATTTCTGTTTTGTTTTTCTTATTGCTTTTGGGATGGGACTAAGTCCCTTGTACTGCTGCCACTTCTGGCCTATTGTACCAGCCCCAGATGATAGGTGAGGGTGATTGTGGAGCGTTTGGTGGAATAAAGATTGGCAGGGGAAACCGAAGTACTCGGAGAAAACCTGCCCCAGCGCCACTTTTTCCACCACAAATCCTACTTGACCAAACCCGGGATCGAACCTGGGCCGCCGCGGTGGGAAGCCAGCGATAACCGCTTGAGCTATGGCGCGGCCATGATTTCTGGTTTAGCGAACATTATTTTAGTATAGAATATAACATATTATGGCATATTTGCCCATGCCAAGGGCTGTGAAGCCAGCAAAAACAACCGTTGCTAGATCGTTAATAAAAATCGTAGACGAGTAGAAACCGTGGGGTTGTGATGACCTCCTATTGTATTCATAACTTACATAATCATTTTTTAAAAAATCTGTTAGTTGGTTTAAGAGCTGAAGGGGACAAAAACACAGCAGAGTAAACTAAAGAATTTACTGATTTTCGCGAGAAGGCTCAGTGGGCCGAAACTTTTAGGTTAGACAAGTTACGAGTAGGTCAGTAAAAAATATAAATTTTAATTAATTTATATTGTGCAGTCAACACTCATTTTCAAACCGTGTCAGCTGTAACATGTACGCAATTAACATTAATTACAGTATAGAAACACGACTATCAAAGTAATTTACTAATTGTACTCAGCCAGTAAAATTGATACTAAAATTTTCAGAGAGCATTTATTTTCATTAGGCGATCGGTTTTTTTGCTGATCAATAGATTCCTTTTCAAGTGAACGTAATTTGCTGAACACGACTGAACTGGTATAACGACCAGCATGCATCATGGGAATGGACACGAAAAAGCTACAGCGCATGCTCCGATTACACTATATTTGTGGCAGATTTACGCATGTTAAGTTACTCAGACAGAAACGCAACACAGAATAACTAACTTTACAAAGAAGAGTCTTTCTTGAGAAACTAATAGATGAATTAAAGTTTTCCCTGTGTTTAACTAATTAAACACTACGCCATGAAGGCGTATGGCGGAGTGGAGTTATAGCTCTATCATTCTTGACCTTGGCACTAGATGGAGGTGAGTGGTCAGCTTCACGCTCCTGCCACTTCACCCCCAGGGAAAGAAGTCCCGTTACGCATCGGCTAAGTCGCTGAGTGAGCTTTAGTGCTGGTCTGGACAACGTGGAGAAGAAAGAATTCTTGACCCTACAGGGACTCGAACTTCGACCCCTCGGCCGTCAAACCTGTAGCCAGTCGCTATACCGACTGCACTATCCCGACTAATAATTATTGAAACAATTCCCGTGCCTTATAATAACTCAAAGGCTCATTGCTATATTCAAAACAACCTGTGGGAAATTTCTTTCCGTAATAATCGAATCCACAAATTCCCCGCCTTGTATTCTTTCATATCCATTTGAATATTATTCTAAGTGTTCTGTTCCCTTTAGGTTTTTCAACGGAAACTAGCTTTTTTTTTCTCTCTTTTCAGTTCAGAATTTTAACGATATATCATTTAATTCTCTTTTCCAAAACTTCGATCTATCGAACTATAATTGTGTCAGAAACTTTGGCCCTCGAACTAATGGAACAGCGCGCTTACAAGACTGTCTCGACGTAACAGAATTGTACTGAGTGCACATGGAAGGACAGTGTATAAGAGGGCACTCACTCCCGATTATTGAGAGGTTGATAGAATAAGGAATGTTAAATGTTAGGAGCATGTTGTAGGCATATGAAAATAAGAATTAATACAACATTGTCTTTGCAAAACTCCACAGAAATATACCATTTTTGACAAACGTAAATGGGAAATAATTTCGCAAAGTGTCTATAAAAATTGTTTTTCCAATTATGGAATTTTGTTGTAACGACTATGAATCTTTGGATTCCATAAGGAACAGACATTTCTTGCTTAGCTGGATGACTAGCAGTGGCTCAAAGCGGCCTCCGTAGTCTAGGGGTAACGTTCCCACCTCATGACTCAAGGTACCCGGCGGAGGTCGTGGAATTTTTAAGGGCGGAAAAATTCAGGGAACAAGTCCTCCGGAAGGGACTTTAAACCGTGGGTCCCGTGTCGTAGATTTGCGGCACGTAAAAGATCTTCATGTCTCTAGAAGAACTCTGAGCTAAATTAGGCAACAATTTCCCGCCCAAATAGTTTCCAACGCCTCTGGTAGATGGGGGAAATATCAGGTACCGACGGCCGACCTCGTTGGCTGAACGGGGCTGATAGCACGCACCAGTACCGGTAGGGTATGGGGACAGTAGAAATTAAAGGGGGACGCACAATGGACCAATAATTGGTCTAAGTGCATGGAGAAACCCACCCCCTCTAATAATTCAATTCAATTCAATTCAATTCTTTATTATTTATAATAATAATAATAATAATCAGTGGCTCAAAGAAACACCATTGGTTCATTCAATTGGCTGTGACTGAATTGTTTGCTTCCGACAAGCGCGGTTACACTACGATTGTTACTGGGTGGGAACCGACACAGTGGACCCCTCTGGTCAGTCACTGATTAAATTTATTGTGTGCATTAGCATCATTAATGAACACTGCAACAAGTATATCAGTGTCTGTGACAATTAGAGAAATGATTGATAGTTCCGTTGTGCGCTTATGCATGCTGTAACGCAATTGGGAGACAGTTGTGTGCTCAGTTTGTGAGACTTGCGTTTCTTTGTGTGTTCCATTCATGTTCTTTACTTGTATGCGTAATATATTCTATTGCAACTATTGTAACCTGGTCAGAGAGACAGAGAGAAAGTGTATGTGTGAATATGTGTGAGTGTGTGAGAGTATGTGAGTGTGTGTGAATATGTCTGAGCGTGTGTGAGAATATGTGAGGGCGAGTGTGTGTGTGTGAATATGTGCGTGTGTGTGTGAGNAGTATGTGAGTGTGTGTGAATATGTCTGAGCGTGTGTGAGAATATGTGAGGGCGAGTGTGAATGTGTGTGTGTGTGTATGTGAGCGCGAGTATGAATATGTGTGAGTGTGTGAGAGTATGTGAGGGCGAGTGTGAATGTGTGTGAGTTTGTGTATTTGAGCGCGAGTGTGTGTGTGGATATGTGTATGCATATGAGCGCGAGTGTGAGTGTATGTGTGTGTGTGCGTGCGTGCGTGCGCATGCGCGCGTGCGTTTGTTCCACGACGTGTTGGCCAAATTTCAGTATTCATATCCAAACAAGACTGTACATGTATGAAGAAGAAGAAGAAGAAGAAGGGTGTGACTATTTCGGGACCTGTTTTGCGTCCTGTTGATAAGACGTAACGTGTGATATTTAAAACCCTTTCTAAGCTATTCTCGGTTTTGTTCACACACGTGTTATGTGATCGCAATGTTAACCCCGGTACTG